TATGAGAGGAATGAACAAACATTGGACAGAACTGGAGAGGGAAGCCCAGGACAGAGTTGGTTGGAGAAAACTGGTGGGCGGCCTATGCTCCATTGGGGGTAACAGGCGTAAGTAAGTAAGTAAGTAACAAAAAGAAACTTTTCAGTCCGGTTTCCTTGATGAGTCTGAATAGCTGTCTACTGTTATCTATCACCGTTGCCTTTTCCATCATCGCTCTTGCTTTCGCTATCCATCAGTTCTCGTGATCATTGCGCAGAATTCTTGTCAACCTGCGCTTAAGCTGACTCCGCTCTTCATCATGATCATAGTCAGATGGGATGAGTTTCCGATCGTTTATCAGTCCAGCAGATGCTACTGAAACCCACTGTTTCTCCCTAACCTCATGGTTTACCTTACTAGCGGATATCACTGCTGTTTTAAGGTTTTTTGAATGTCATTCCAAGCTTCATCCGGATGGGCATCACTTACACAACTGCCTAACTATTTTTCTAGTTGCTCATGAAATATATTCTTAGCTTTGTCATCATTAAGTAGAACCCTAGGTCGTTTCCGTGCGATGTCTTTCCTACGTCCAGTAAGCTGCACACAAATACGCGCTCGCACCAGAGCATGGTCTGAATTTAAAAATGTACTCAAGGATGAGCAACAGTCTTCAATAGATTCTTTCCACCGACGATTGATAGCGATTTGATCTAGTTGGGTCCGCCGTTGGGTCGGCTTTGGGAGTGGCCAGGTCAAAAGATGTTTTTCCTTATGCTTGAAGTTAGTGTTTCTTACAAATAGGCCGTTGTCCGAGCATTGCTGAAGTAGACGGTCGCCCTCATCTGTTCGATTAGTCGCGACACCAAAAGATCCACCCAGATACCTTTCTTTTTTACTTAGTCTACCTACCTGAGCATTAAAGTCGCCAGTCACTATAGCTATATCAGAGCGCTTAAATTTTTTAAGAAGGTTAGAGAGGTTTCTGTAAAACTCTTCTTTTATCTCGTCCGAGCTACACTCAGTGGGAGGGTAGGCAGAGACACCGAAGGGGCGATGGCCAGTGTCCCTATCTCTCCGAGTCCTTACTGTCCCATTTAGTCGGACAGAGCAGAAGCAACTGTATACTCGGATCCAGTCCAAGAGAGCTACCTCTGCTTCAAAACCTACACCAACAAGGCAACGAGAAGCAGCAGGTGAGGCTTCCAGGTACAAGAAGTGTTAAACGAGATGTTTATTTATTTTGACATGATGACGTCAAATAAATCACTGTATTCCGATCCGGTATGTGCGTTTTGTAGACACATCAAACATAGACGGCACGTGATTTCAGAGTTTTAGCTAAGGAAGCCTGTTTCGCTATTTTAACACAAGGTTCAAACATTTGAAGTCCAATATGTAGTTTAGAGCATGGTTTTAGGAGACCAGGAATAACGTTTCGCGTACATCAATAGTTTGCACCAGCGTCACTGAGTGATAAAGGAATGAAAGAAGGGTTAGTCGCAGAGATAAGAGAGTTATTAGGAGGCTTATTTTGTGACTGATACGGTCTCGTTTGCTGTCAGGGGTATGAGAGCGGATATCACTTCTCATCTGCCCACACCGTGGAAGGGTGCCTCTGGGGGAAACTGTAAAAGACATCGGTTCAGCGTTAGTCTGAGCGACCAAGGAGCGTTACCGTAGAGCCCAACGCCTACTTGAGGCCGGCCATGCACGGATTTTTGTGAGGAGTTTGTAAAGGCTCTTCAAATGGCTTCATCGCTGAAGACAGAAATCTATGGGTTGAGGTGAGGTGTGACATTTTTAGGGTTGACTTTTTCTAATCCCTTCCTTCCTTGTGAGAAGACAGCGTCGCTGCAGATGCTGGTTGTCCGAGGGAAACATCTTACTGCTGTGACACCCCTCTACAGTCAGCAGTACGACTTTGTTCTCAGATCTTAAGTTATTGCCTTTAGTTTTACCGTTATCCAACCGACCTGCCTGACATGGTAAGACCTACAGGCACATATGTTCCAGCCAATATAATTCGGTTGGGTAATCACGTCAGACAAGCCCGAACATCATGTCAAGGTAGCATCTACTGTCGGGATTTCAACTACGTACTTGAATCCTAACCCTAAAACCTTAATTATGACCTAAATACTATCTCCAAACCTTTAATTCTAAGCATAAACCCTAAATACTCAATACTAAACTCTCAATCATAAATATCGAATCACCAAAAAAGTTATCTATTCCTAACTTAGAACACTGTAAATAAATCTTATCTATATGGACGAAATGATAAGTCAAAAATTCCGATTTAAAAAATTAATAAGATGTAAAACAGTTTAATGGGTTCATGGATCATTTAAAATTGGTTAGTTTCCATAAATTATTCATTTACAGAAGTTGTTTTCTGACCATTTAAAAAACTGGTGAAAATTCATAATGATTATTGCAAGCTCACCCCAATACCTAATTCTTTATGTTATAATACTTTAAATTTTTTAGCTCACATTTGAATTTTATGACTGGCTAATAAAAACATTTAAAATAAATATTCTTGAGTTATGTTACTTGAACGACTTCTTGAATTTTTTCAAACAATTTAAATATAAAATACACTTAACAGATCAACTAATTCATGCTTGAGTTAAATGTGACGCTAACATTTATTGAAATTAAGAAGGTACTTGCATCGTTCATTGTTATTAATTGAAAATTTACGATTGATGAAAGCTCGTTTGGTTTTATTTGAATCCAGTTTAGCTCTACACTGATAGAGAGTTCAAAGTTTTCAACGACTTCAGTTGCAAAGGGAATGACACTGACCTCCATCTTCTCAAAAACATAATCCATCCTGGATTTTTATACGATATTTGGATGTGTTCCACATGATTTTATTTAAGATGGAAATACAATTCAGTGTAATATCTTATAAAATTAACTGATACACAACATAACTTTTGGAAACAAAACGTAGTTTAGTAATGATTTTCAATTAATTTATAAAGTCACAGTTCTGGTATGTGTATAGGTGCATATGCACAGTGGCGAATCAGCTTCTAAATTAAATTTATTTCCAAATTTCCACTTGATTGTTGTTCTTCAGTTAAAAACTGAAATTATTATGTTTCATCGTTAGAATAACTTTTCCACTAGTTCATTTGAAATATAACAAGTGGATAGATGAGAAATACATAATTAACATGGTTTTTCTTTTCAGGATTCATGATATGTATAATTTTCTTTGTCTTATACGTTTGGATGACACGATGAATGCTCAAGTGAAAGGATGAATTGTGACTTGTAGGTGAGAATTGTTAAACACGTATGAAAAAGGTTATGCATATGACCCAATAATAGCATATGACAAATACCTATTTCACTACATTACCAAATACACATAATTAAAATAGGTTATTAGACTGATCTTGACTCACTCTTTTTAGTTTGATGTGAAAGATGCCTTGTTTGATTATTTAGCTACGCTAGAGTGCTGATGGTCTTCTTTCTCTCCCTCCCCACTTCATTGAATCAACAATGTTGTACTTTAACTGTAGTCCTGATATTCGGATTTAACACCTAGAGTGATGTTCATTGACCCGAGATCTAACTCCGATTTGGACGAATGATTGAAAATGCAAATGAAATAATTCGTCTCTTCCATATACTGATATCATCATTTAGGCGAACGCCATGAGTGAGCCGGTGGTAACAAGAAGCCAAATATGGATTAAGTTGGATGAGTTTATTTCATGCAATGGTTCACAGAGGTAGACGGACAGACAGACAGACATGAGAATACGAAGCGTGAATACAAGGCGTAGCAAAGTGGAGAATGCGAGTGAGGTAATTCAATGTGTTGAAGTATTACTAACCATGCATAGTCAAAATGGATGCTCGATATACGTATGGTAAGCCCTGTAAGCATGCACACACTCACTGGCATGAAAACAACTGGGATATGAGGGAATGAGTAAGAAGGTCGAAACAGGAGTCAATAATGTCTCGGGCAAAATGGATTGAATAGTTTGTCTAAATGCCAGGACAAGCCTTGTAGTCGGGACATATTTGTACACTCACTACGGATTTAATTTATCTTATCCACTTGATTCATCTATCCACTTCACACACTTCACGCACTTCCTTCTTCATTGCTGTTCACCTCAATTTATGTTCTATATTACTACAAGTTACTTAAATTTTATTGGCTATTATGATGTTATCTTGAGCTACCACTGCACTGTCTATTTCACCATGAAAGGTTAAGCACTGCTCTGCTTATATATATACAGTTGTCTCGTTGCTGTTTTTCCTCATTCTCTCTCCTTCTGATAACCCCAGTTGCAGTGGTACACCCATGTTTTCTCCACGCAAAGTGTACCTTCTCTACGCGCACGTCTGTTACAGCTTGTTTCAAACACTTTTCAATTGACTATTCCCAATGTATTAACTCCTGAATTATGGAGACCAGCGAAGAACTCTACCATGTACCTTCCCTATGTGTACTCTTATTGAAAATATGGCTCTATCAAATTGTTCCTGTCAATGACATGGTGTAAATGTGCTGTCAGAAATAGACTCTTATTTCTAATCTCACTCGGCCTACTTTCGCGGTAAATGGGATAGCTTTTGTAACAACATGATTTAGCCAGTAAACTGGTATGCCTCTTATAACATGCTGTTATCTGAGAATAAATATATTATTATCATTATTATAATTGTTTTCATTGTTTGTATATTATCCAAATTGTCTAGATGACTATCATTACTACATGTAAATATCTTAACAAATTTTTATGACTGGTTGGATTATTCAAAATAAATTTCTCTCACATATCCTTTAGTGCTGCTAAACTTCATCATCTAATTGCGTCATTCATATTTTTTTTCAACGTTGACACATTGAACATAAGTGTTGTTCTAATTTTAATCGTGGGATATTCAACACAGGAGGAACATAAAAAATCTCCCATCTTTACTTGCGCACAGAATAACTTAGAAATGACATTTCCAAATGCTTTTTCCACGTTAATTCAGTTAGTTAACAAAACCCAGTACATAAACACAAGATATTTTGTGGATTATTTTTATTAATCAATCGGTAATTAGAAGGAATGGATAACAGTCAAAAAAGAAAAACCATTGTGATTTGAATAAAATTGACTAAATTAATGTGTGGTCAGCGATGATCGAGTATGTGACATCTTCCCTTTGATTTTCGTATATCATACTTAAGCGAACCCCGTTTGTAAGACAGCGGTAATAAGAAGCCAAATGTGGTTTTGTGAGTGAATTGTTTTCATCCGTTCATTCTTGCAGATAGACATGACAATAAGAAGCATACAAGCAGAGCGAAGCGAAGTGAAGAAGGCTAGTAAGCCAACTCCACCATGCAACAAGGAAGCATGATTAAGCAGTTATATTCAGATTAAAGTAAGCAGCAAACACACAATGGAATAGAAACCACCAAGATATAGGCGAATAACTAGCAGGGTCGAAAGATGAGTGGATAACTCAAGAAGAATGAATTAAATAAATTATCGGAATGTGGGGAAAAGTCCTGTTAAGCTCATCATCAGAAGTACAAGTGAACCTGAATCAATATTGTTGTTATTAGTATGAAGTGTGTTTTATTTTCTTGATCATTGTAAAAGAAGAGCGAAAAAGCAGTGCATAGAAATAAATGAATAAATAACTTATTGCGTTTGTGTTAAATCATCGATTGATAAATTTATAATGTAAGCAAATCTGTTCTTTATTTGTTAGTTCAATGTTCAACTAATTTTCAATGAAAAAAACTAATCTGGTTTGTATCTAAAAAATTTATTACACTAGTAAACTGTGATTCATTCTATTTATCAAAGTATTGACTGTTTGTATTGGTTAAATGTTTAGTTACCAAATATTAGATTGTTAAGAATTTTGAACGATCGCGGTAGCTTCACTCTGAAAAATTAAAATTTCTGAAAATTAATTAATTTTAAAAGAAAGATACATTCAGTGAGTGCATACAGTTATAGTAGTATAAATTCTGTTATAGTATTAATCAGTCGACAATTATAAATGTTGATTCCATGGTAGTTTATAAAATGCTTTAGCTAATTGACATAGTATTCACAGAGTAAATGTTTATAAAGTGGGTGAAATTATTTTTGAATGTTTAGTCAAATCACTTAATTACTATTCTGTCGAGTAATACTTCATTTAAACAACTTTTATTTGTTGACCATTAAATAATCATTAATTTCATGTTTTTCTAGTTTTTTTTACAATTGATTAGATTCTATCGCTCAAGCAGCAACATAATTTTAAATGTAAAATCAATTCCTTCAAGATTTTCTAGGTACATCTTGATGACAAGTGATAACTAGTAGAAAATTATGTCTTGCTTTTTCTGCAAAGTACCCACAAGCATCTCAGATGGATGTACTTGTATCTTGAAGTTGATGTTCACTGTAAGACTCAAATCCGATACCTTACACTTCAAAAATTATCGCTTTATTTACTTGGCTGTTGAGTTCAAGTAGTCACTAGCTTGTACTATGGGATAAAGATTCATTCAGTTCTACCGGTTATTTGAATGTAAAAGGTGACATACATAGTTTTAGTTAGTATATCTGTGTAATTTCAAAATGTTGTGTACAGAATTAAATTTACAACACAGTTAAGTGGACGCAAGTTCATTTAAGGTAAATCTGGGTTTATTGATTCACAATTTCTATAATGAATCAGCCTGCATGTAGTCTATAATATTTAAAAGTAATGATTATTTGACTTTAACTGGAAATAACACGGCAATAAACGACAATCAGTTGGTTCTTTTAAAAACAGTCAATATGTCCATTGCAATGATGTCATTGAAATCCAACTAACCTGGGCGGTTATGTTGTTTATGTTGGTTAAATTTTCAACCAATGGTTAATCTAGAAAAATAAACAGAAATTTCGTAGAAAAAATGAATGTAGTAACTTAAACTGTTATGATAAAGATTAATCAAGTCAGATCTATAGAAAGACGTTTAGTGTTTAGTTAAACAACTGAGATGATTAGTCTCAATTTCAATTAATTTACTTCAGTGATTGATATTAGGTAGGGAACCAGTGAAAATCGAGGAATATTAGACAGTTATTCTGTCATAACTTGAGACCTTTCAACTACATGTGCTCATGATACCGCTCGGTAAATTGTCAGGTGTTTCGGAAATCCAGTATTCCTCATTTTAGATATTAATTTGTTTACGGTATACCTGGGCATCACCCAGTGCCCCTGCTCAATAACCTTATCATTCACAATATAGCTAAACACCGTCAATCACTCTTTATTAAGACTTCAGAAATATATATTGTAGGCAATCAACACCGAACATATGATGATTGTTAAATTGGTTGTGTATAGCATCATTTTTGTCCTGATTTGAATGCTTTCTTCCTGGTTAAATCTAATTCATGATTGTGTCAATTTGTGAAATACATATCATCTGATGTGACCTTAGTCTGAACTTATTAGCTACATTCGAACGTCTTAAGTATCATAGTTGATACCAGTAGGAGTTAATTTGACTAGGCTTTTATTTTAACGAAACAGCATGAAAAATGTTGAAATAAGGTAATTACAGTGGTGCAAACAAAATGAAACTTTTATCATATGACAAAATTGTATATTATTAGTAAACATATAAAATTTTATGACTGAAGCTTAGTTTAAAACTTGTGCTCAATATTTATATTTCATATAAAAGTGCACGGTAGATATTACGTGCTAAGTTCTTGCTTTATTCGAAATTTCATTTGTAAAATTATAAATTTTATACTTGAACTGATTAGTTTTAATTTATGTAGATAATTGATAGCAAATTTACTTTTACCTACTTGATTAGTCTGTATTTTTGCATAACATAGTGTTTTCATAACTTTATACAATCCATGTAATCATAAAATATGATTTATGCACTTGTCTTCTTCATACTTAATGAAATTTATTATTGACTGAAGTTTTCCGCTGTTCTGTGGTAAGTCTAACGTCCAAACTCACTTAGTTTGGATTTTGCATGACCTCAAATTAAACGTTAGATAATCATCCTTTCTGACAGGCAAACATAAAACATAAAACAGTTCTATTTAAAGAGGATTATACATGTAAATTAGGTAAAAGTATCCAAACGACTAGCATTACTAGTCTACAGAAATTACAGGATAGTGCCTTGACATTTGTATAATTCAATCTAAAATACAACAAGTAATCAAGATGTCGAAGAACTCAACGTAGTAACTTTTCAAAATGGAAAAATATCTTTGTGAAACGAGGGATATAGTTTTTTCGACTAAGTATAAAACAACTCCATTTCTCAAAAGTGAACTTAATGTAAACTTTATGTTGTAAAAAACGTCCAAAAACCAAGCCTTTGAAGAACATAAAATAGTTACTTGTCAAACAAAAACACACCTTCAACAGCTTAGAAAAGTTACTTTACCGTCGAATGGTAGACTGACTGGACAGTTTCAAGCAGCAGCCATTTAAACTCAAAGAATCGATATGACAGTGGCCAAAATTAGAGGTCAGTTAAGACAAAATAACACATTGTGCAAAAAAAACCGCTAACATAAAGTGGTGACACACTGATAAAACTGAAATTGTCAGTCATATTCATCAATGACAACTTTATCTGAAGACAAAGTAAAAACGGATTATGGAAATGAAATTGTCGAAAGCAACACATTTTTTTGTAGAAATTAATGGTAAGATGGTGATAATTGTTGCATCATAGGTATACATGAAGGAATTTTCACAAACAAGAACACATACAACGGTGGTGAATAGAGCTTACAATGAGAGAGATGTTACAAATACATAAACAAATAATAATAATAATAATAATAATAATAATAATAATGAAATTGATAGTTTGGTAGTAAGATTATTCTGTAAATAAATTCAAATGGATTAATAATTTTCAGTTTAGTACTTTGATATCAACTACATAAATTATTTTATAATAATAGTTAGAATAATTCATATTTAATTGTTTATGTATTCTAAATTATTTTCATTTGTTTAAATTACCAGACGGAAGTAATTAATGTCGGCACTTTGTATTATTATTATTATTATTATTAGTATTATTTGTCTGATACATAAATACTAGTAATGAATTCAATTCTTGGAATAAGTTTTGTATACTTTATTAGGTTTTAATGAAAGCGATATTTGCCGAAATTGTGATATAATGGAAGCCAGTCGTACCTGTTTCTCGCTCTGTTATTCATTACAAAGAAAGCCAAGTGGTTAGGAGGTTGTATATAATATTAAATCCTATTATGTTCAATAGATTGGATGGGTTTGTGGTGGCCAGTATGTCACTAGTTTCGTGACTGTTGGTATCCAACGTATTCTGCTAGTCCATACAACGGTTACTAAATAGCGCCTGGCAGTTTATAAATCAGAAGGCCAATACGAAGTACTGAATATGTTTATTTAGCTCATCACAATTAGACCACAAACCACAGGCATACAGAGCAAAAGGGCAAACAGGATAGCGAAAGAGCGAAATGGCGAATGAATTAATAAGATTAAAATGTACATATATATGCATAGGAAAATGGCTGTCGTCGAAATATTCATGAGGTTAACATTAAAGCGAGTAGGTTGAATATTCACATATACGGTAAGCAATGTTCAGGTATACTAGCTAATATAAACCAGACAATAGTAAAAGTCAATGGTACATATAAGTTATTGCTATGCAAAGGGTTTGGTTAAATAAGTTAATCAAAAGTCTTAACCAAATTAAATATGAACGAACTGTAGTGTATGTAGAGGTACTACAGCTTAACCAACCATCCAAACTGGACCTTTCAAATCTTACATCACAAAAACATAGATTAGCTGAAATGATTTATTTTACTTTAATTTAACAAAAAGAAATGGCAAACAGTCTTTTATGAACTAGTAAGCGTTTTGATACCATATAAATGACACTAAAATATGCCTAAGTTCTTACTAATTACTTATGAAACATATATATATATATATATATATATTTCAGGTAATAATGTCCTGCAGAGTTTCAAAATACCAAAAGAGAAACAGAAACACTGTTATTTACAATATTTTACTTTATTACAAATTAACCTTCCCCTTGATTAATATAAATTTAATCAATACACGATTATTACGATAGATTTTCATTGAACATTTAAAATACTGTCTGTTTTTTTGTTTAAATAGTTTGGTATAACTACAATCTCTTTTTCATAAGATAGATTAATCGAGTTTCAGTAATACTAGTTATTCGAAAAGAAAAATGAATGGTTTTATTAAACTTTATATGACAAAGTGAACTGAATAATTTGAACAAAACAAGACAAACGATGTTAGTAGAATGTAATGAATATTTTGTTTCATTTTTTCCCATATAATAGTTACATGCAAGTTAACAGTGTCATTTATTTCAGGGGATTTAATAAATACTAACAATCTCAGATGAACAGAAAAAAAGCCAGCGGATTATTTCGAATATAAATTAGTTTTCATTCATACTTCAAAATCATGGTTCCAGAACATTGAAGATAATCCAATCCCATTAGCACTGAGAACTTTTTACGAAAATACCGAGTTAAACACAAGAAAATCGAATTAAAATGAAAGATTCAAGAAATTATTTGATATAGTTGATTTTGTAATCAAGATAATTGAAGGTTTTTTTCGAATACAAGAATTAAATTCAAGCGTCGATTGTTAGTTTCAAAAGACAAAATTATACATAACTACTGCTTGAACTTTTATAACGTAAATTTTTTCTGAAATATGCACAATCACAGTCAGTAATACCAATTATTTTCAACATTAAGTACATTTGTTTTACTTCGTACTTTGTGATATGTAAATGTATAAAAAATAAAACTGATATAATGAGCCAATCAGAAGTGACCAAATAAGGAGGCAATGTGATGATCAATCGAAACGTCCTGAAGAACAAGTGCATACCAATGGATTACTTTACTAAAGAGGATGGATTCGTTTGCATAAATAAGAATCTAAATCTATGCTTTGGAATCTAACTTCAGTTTTAACGAATAATTTAATAAACTATGAAATAAATGTTCCTTTCAATTTCCGTATATATGACAATGTTTATTAAAAGCCCAATATGATTTCATGTGGATGAATTCATTTCATTCATTCTCGCAAGACAACAAAAACAGAATGCGAAGCGAAACAAAGTGAAACGGGAAAAGAGAGTAGGCCAACTCAATCTGATGAAGCTAGATATGTGACAAGCGAAGTGAGCAATACACACACACACGCTCAAATAAAGAAACCAAGTTTATAAGTGAATAACAGACAAAGTCAAATGGCATGTGATCTAAAACCGTCGAAGAATGGAAATAATTAGTTTGTCCAAAGACTGGGCTCGATATATTAGTACACATTATAAGTCGAATAAACTTCCCCACTCTTGCCTGCTCGCTCAAGCATCCAGTTTTGGGGGTTAATATATTGATATAGAAGGTCATAAAAAACAAGCTTTTCTTTTAAATGGCACTTAGTTACTTGCTCCTGTTACCCCCAATGGAGTATATGCCGCCGACCAGCATTCGCCAACCTACTCTGTCCTCGGCCTTCTTTCCAAGTTCTCGCCAATTGTTGTCAATTCTCTTCGTTTCTTTCTCCAATTCTTGGTGTAATGTGTTTTCTGATCTCCCTCTTTTCCTTTGGCCTTGAAGATCCCAGGTGAAGGCTTGTCTTGTGATGCAGTTGAGTGCTTTCCTCAATATGTGTCTCATCCTTCTTCAGTGCCTTTGCCTAATTTCTTCCTCCTCTGAAATCTGGTTTGTTCACTCCCAAAGTAGGTTGTTGCTGATAGTGTCTGACCAACGGATCCGAAGTATTTTGAGAAGACAACTGTAGACGATGGCCTTCGTACTTCCCCAAGTTTTCACCCCATACTGTAGAACTGTTTTGACATTTTTACTGAAAATTGTGACTTTGCTGTTAGTTAACAGTTGTTTTAAGCTTCAGATGCTCTTCAGCTACATTAATGCTGCCCTTGCTGTGTTATCCATGTCTATACATCTATATCCAAGCCACCATGTTTATTATTGATGCTGCCTAGGTAAGTAAACGTTTCCATATCTTTCAAAGCTTCTCCATCATGTGTGATTTGTTTGGTGCATGTTGTGTTGTATCAGAGAATCTTGTTTTCCCCTTGTATATGTTGAGATCTACTGCTGCAGAGGCTGCTGCGACACTGACGGTTGGGATTTGGTCGGTACATGATCTATCCTTACGGAATCGAGCCTGCTGATCTGGAAGTTGGGCCTCTACTGAATCTTTCATTCGGTTTAACAAGAATCTGTTGAAGACTTTCCCTAATATTAAGAGTACAGTGATGTTATCATTATGAGCGTATAATTGATAAGTGGTCAAGAATACATTTTCGAAAATTCGTAAACTGAAACTATGAAATTTTATTATGTTCTGCTTAGTTCTTAAGAGACTGTAGTTTGATTCCGAGGATCTACTGTAACATATAAGATAATTGTATAGAACAAATGGAATATGTTTAACAACGGATCCTGGTGTAGCGTGTCGTCTCATCCAGGACTCGTCAGCTGGATATGTTAGCATCTCAGAGCTGCGACTCATGCCCACTACTTTTGGTTTCAGAATATTCATAATCCAAATCACTACTAATTAAATTATGGTCAAGATTCTGTTTCTTTCGCCAATATAGTTCAATATATTTTCTATACACTTGAATAAAAGTCATTAAGACTGACTAATTTTATTGATAATTTGAGCAAATATAAATATCAGTTGAAGTTGTTAAAGTTTTAAACTGAAAGAAGACATGTTTCATCTCATATAGAACTCATCAAGTTAATAAGTTTATATGCTATTGTTAATGTTTAGACTGAGGTTTCACCCGAATCCCCTTCATTTCAAAAACCGACCAATCGAGTCTAGACAATAAGTAAAAAACCAATATCTTTGAATTATTCTCGAGTCAATCATCAACATGATGTTCTTATGCTAATTGACAACTATGCATTGAATTACGTTCGAAAAGTCAGGATACATGTGGTGAGGATTATTTTTTATCACGATATGAAAAGTCAATGCATAAAATTAAAAAAAAATATTTCAGAAAGTGTGTTTGAATTTTAAATCTTATACATTGAGTTAGAACAAACAAAATAATGTTAATCTGGAAGCCAAACATAAACAATATTCTTGGGAATCGAGTTATTGCTAGGATATAAAAATCAAACAATCTATTCATTAAATAAACTTGATATTTTTGTGCATACTGTTTAAAAAACTGTTGTTAATTATACATTGGGGAAAACATATCGTCTTCATTTCTTCTAGATAATAATAGACTGATGATAATGTCAATCTTTATTTTGTTCAATATATATTACCTTGTTAATACAGCTTAGAGTAGCTATCATCATTAATCAAAAGATGATTGAAGATCAACTCTGTCTGATTAAGTTGGTATACATTGTCAGTAAATAAAAGATCTTATCAGTAACTGTAAACCACTTAAAATTAAAGCTTTTCTCACTACAAGATTCGATCATTATTGTTTATTATTGTGATTAATTCGTGAAATTTAAATGCTTATGCTTTCTAAGACCAGAGGCTAACAAAATAGTGGATTGAGTATGATATTGTTTCAGTTAATGATAGTTAAGTATTCAGTTTTTCAGAGCCTTAAAAGATTTTATTTTAAATTGTGAAATTTTAGTGATGATATTAAATATGCTTAAGATAGATTTACAAAATTTCGACTAAATAGTATTCTCACTTTGAAACGTTTGCAGTATCCAGTTTGTTGAAGTTCATCATGTTCTTCTAATGGTGTAATAAGCATCGCAGTTCGAATATACCAAGATTTTCCACGTTTTCGTACGTTTATTAATTGAACAATCATATTAATAGGTATCGGTATAAGTACAATTAAACATAACATCCAAATACCAATCTGAAAGACAAAATAAAGAAACAACTAAATAGTTTTATGTTTTGATAAAAAGGGATTTTAAAAGTAGTTACGTTTCACAGTTATATGAAAGTTTGATTTTTTTGACCAGTTATTCCAACGTCATGTTCACTAAAAGTCTTGATTGAATCGAAGCAGCATCTTAGTCGAAAAGCAAACTAAATTCATGCAGAGTAGTTATCAGCAAAGGCATTAAATTTCACTGTGAAGTTTATATACTAACATAAAAGTCCTCAATGTGTACTAAAGGTCTTTATTATTGAAGAGGTCTGTCAAGGATAAGAACCCAAGAAGCAAGCATCGTCCATGCCCCTTCCTCCGAGTTGCAGCAGTCAAGAAGCACCTAGGAAACCCATTCATAATTCGAGGTCTATTTTCAGCAGGAAAAACAACAAAAACTATGACCTGATCATCCAAATAACTGACAACCAGTCAGGATCTCATTGTGTGAAACTCATCTGCGTTTGTTATTCCAGCGGAAACTGATGAGTAGATGTAAATAAAAGTTAAGAGACGACTACATGTCACAAGAGAGAAGCCAGTCCCCTTAACTGTAGTTAGAAAATCATCGTGACATGTCACTTATCTTTCATCGAGTCAAGGAGAGCAACAACTTTGAGCCTAGAGCTTGGCTTAAATTCAATCAAAAAACCAGTTGATGCTGATATTAAGTGCTTCCTAGTCAAAAATGTGAAGATACGACTAGGTACAACTAGGTACGACCACGACTCCAGGAAACGATGACCATGAAGTTCTACTGTTTACTTACCATATCATTGTCAACACTATTTTAACAGCCCAATCGATTAGTATGGGAATATAAGAGTACTATATTGTTGGCAGAAGACAATTACTTTAATTGATTTGGCAATGCTTAGACCGTATAGATACCCTTCTCTTCAGTTCACACATATCCGTCAATACTCCCTAAATATTGTGACCATCGAAGAACTTAATGTCATTGGTATGTTAAATAAGCTTGATATTGGGAAATCTATAGGACAATGAAACGCATCTTAGATTTCCTCTTAGCTTAACCAGCATGGTTGTTAAGATTTTGGAAGAGGTTATTAGGAAGGAATTATTTGAGAATCTAGACCAAACAGGATACTAACTGAAAAGCAGGAAGGTTGTAGAATAGGTTACTGTTATCTTACAAACTTATTAGTAGCTCGTGAAAGTTAGTGTACTGTTACAGATTGGAAAATCTCTGTAGATGAAGCCTTCATTGACTTCAATAATGCTTTTGAGAAAGTTTCGCACAATGGGCTTTTAAGTTAATTAGTAGTGGGATTGGAGGTAACTTAGATGAAGGATTTCCTAGTTGACCGTTAAAAAGAATACAGGTAAACTCCAAGTTATCTGGTTAGGAAAATGTCCTTAGCAGAGTACTTTGGGTACAGTTTTGGGACAAATATTATAACTTCTATATGCAAATCAGCATCCTAGTCTTGTATCACCACCCGATTCGTCATATACTGACAATATTAAGTATGGAGAGCGATAAAAATCAAGGCGATAGTTTTAAACTTCAAAACGATCTGCAGAGATTATATGAATAGTCTAGAATTAGGCAGCTGCTGAGCAATCGGCCACCAACGTGCAGATACATTCACGGTGAAAAACATTGAGAAAACCTTTTGTCCAAACACAAAATGACCTAGAATTCGTCGCTGATCAAGACTTCAAAGCTATTGACCACTACTTTGAGAAAGCCACTAAGTAGCTAGTCATTTGACTACTGACTTTCTATCCGAGCCGTCAACGAATGGATATCGTCACCTAAACAAGTGACTGAAACTCCATCTGTCCATATATTCGAGAGAAAGTTGGATCATTTGAGGGGCCTTTAGTGCCAGAACTAGAACAAGCCTCTGAGCCTCCTGTTTTTTACCAACTGAAACTGAATACAATACCCTGAGTATGTACTTGATGCTAATATAACTTGATTGACCTGCTGCTTACAAAAATTATCCGTCCAGCGTGTCATGTGATAAAGCGTAAGTATTTTTGAAAGTTTCAGTTTTTCATAATTTTGGCTAATCTATAATTAGTTATGATTTGCTTATTCCCTGTTAATTTGCTCTCACTAGAACATACAAAACAATAAACTTTAAACCTTAGCTTACACACAGGCTTTTAAGCTACAAACATTTTCACATCCATCACAACGGCTTCATTAAAATTTTTTTATCGGAATTGAAGACATTTCACGCTGAATTGTTGATCAAATGAAAAATTCATGGTTTAAATAACAACTCCTTCTATAAGAACTTACATTCAGCTTTGTACAAATAACTTCAAACCGTCGGGTGTATAAAAAATATTTATAAACAGAAAAAAAAAACTATTTTCAAAAATCTCACCAATCGTAATTAAAAATAACATTTTGCACGGTATTCTAGTTAACTCTTCCGTAGGAAGGCAATGAAAAATAATAATGATCATAAATAGCCATGTCCATAAAACGACTATGCACTAATTAACTACTGTATTCCGTTTAAATATGAATTATGGTTTTCAATAGTTGGATTTAATTCATTTGGTGCGACATGTGGCTCCACTTGTTATAAATGAATAGGTTTTTGTATATGCATGTAGCTATTTTTAGAAAAATATTGACCAGGAATCATTCTTAGCTATGATTAGGATCAAATAAATCATTCTAGATGGTCGTTACAAATCAAACTTATTAGCATAAGTGTACACTGGGAATAGATAAAAACAAATAAATATATAACTCTATGTTTTGACAGTTAGACCGTTCGTCAAGGTCATAATACCCGAACCATTATTATAAACAAGATGAGAGTTGAAATTTCAGACTATTATACGCCTGTCATGTAATTTTGAATGCAAGAAAGTTAACAATTCATTTAAAAATAACTTCGAAGTATACAAGATGTCTTCACAGAAAATATAAGTTAATAGTTGAAACTAACCTGAGCACATATTTACACTACTTCATTTACTAAGCAATTGTAACTACTTCATAACATTTCTTTAAATTAGAATCTTCAACTTTAGTCTGTATATCTTTCACGTGGAATATTTACAGATAACCATAAATCAGAAAGACTTTTTATTTGAACATGAATAATAGTTTTCATTTCTAATTAAAAATTGCTTTCGTAATTAGGCTAACTTTTGTTAACGGTAACCATGACGACATTTGATTCAATCTAAGTAATTGGATTTCCTAGACATCTTTATTATTATTATTATTATCACGACTATTGTAACCATTGAAATAAATTTTTGACGATTGATTTTCGCAGCTATTAATTTAATCATATATTATCTACCGTATCAATCAAATCCAGACATATATTTTTGTGGTCAACTAACTGATAATTTCGCTTTTTCTCATTCTATTCTCCGATAAATATAATTTTATATTCTGTGGATCATCACTGTAGTCAGATTTTCTTGACAAAGTGAATCATTGAACCTCATTTGTAAAACATTATCTATTGAAAATGTTATCACTTAATGTTATCACGTAATATACTCCATAAACTTCAATAGGTCTACTATAGTGTACAATCCTCTTCCATCGCCTTTGGTAGATAACTGTTTTACATCAGGTGCAGTTTAAACTCCGCTGATCATAGCTTCCCCATTGGAACTTAAGAAGTCACACTTTGAAGCTAGTCACTAGTGAGTAAAAGATTACTATTAGAATGAGTAGATTTGTGGAGGGTGTAGTATTTCCATAGTCCAAATCACAAATTGATCTTTGCTGTTTAGTGCTTCCAAGTGTGAAACGATGATCTAGCCACAATTAGTTCATGATTTAAACTCTGAAAATAATACAATCTCCACAAATCTCCTATACTTTGGAAAATTACTTATTGTTTTCAATTTTAAACGTCTTAAGTCATGTTGTGCTTTGATTACACTGAAGTATGAAGTAGCATATTTATTGACCTTCAGTGGAGCAATTATTTTATTGAATATTTAGATCATGCATTAAGCAAATAATATTTATCAAAAGACTATATTACAGTTGCGCTTTGAACGATCTGATCACATATTTTTTCATTTGAGAAATATATGAAAAATAAAGCGGTTCACGAAACAAAACAAAGAAACGGAAAACAGTATGAGTTATCCTAATCTGAGGAATAATTTAATTTAGCCAGAGTAAATTCAAGGAGAGAGTATACAATTTTGAATATGTAAAAGAATTTGAATCTTCTTATGAGTATGATTTCTAAAGATCTTACTGCACACTCCTGAGTACAATTATACAAAAGCCGATTAATGTTAGTATTAAACACTATCAAATAAGTTGCTTGTTCATCAGGAGCCCTTACTAGGTAAATCAGTTTTTTAGTCATTTCTTAAGCTACTTTAGTACAACTTCAGTTATAATGTGATATACATACTCTAAGGTTAATTAGTAAAGCATAGACTTTGATTCTTTATTAACTGTAAGCTGAGTATAGTGTCCTACTTATCACGAATTTAAGTGTTGATTTCTGCACAAGACTATTTGAATTACCTCTGTCTGTTATGGTGAGGGAAACTCATTTAATAAGTGGTTTAATAGTACTGGATCTCAGTAAACAGCTTTCTTTACTGTGAAAGATTAGATTGAAACAATATAATCCTAAACAAAGAATTTTTTTCAGTCCATAACAAACTGAAATGGAACAGGTCATATTATTCAGAATTCCACATAGTTTGTCTGTTTGTTGAAATGTTAAATATGACTGCGCTTTAGTCATTATAGGTTTGTTGTAACATGGAACAGAGAATTTTGTTGTAATACTCATAACTGTAAGCTAGAGACAATGTTTATTTCGGAAATTATTGATTGGTTGAATCAGTATGTATGGTTAAGGGTGTTTTTGATAATTAGATATTAACGAAGTGATTCAATTCAGTTGTTGTTTCACCTATCTGCTTGAGTTGTATATTATATTAACTGAAATAATGTTAAAAGAAGTATACAATGTTTAACAATTTGGCTTAACATTTGCATTCTATTCTGTTAGGTAATCTACATAGTTTTAAGTAAATGAGCTAATCGATTAATAGATCGATAAAATATTAATCTGAAGACTTAGTTTATCATTAAAAAAATTAAACTCTTAGTAAACCTACTATTGACCAATCAGGATAATGGTAAAATTTCCCACCAACGGAAATTTCTGCATTGGTTGAAGTTAAAATTTTGCACAACAACATAAAAATCAGTATTGAAGGTACAAAAATTTTCAAAATTAAACGTGTTATAAAATGCACTTGTTTATAGGTGATTTCCTGCATATTTCTTGATAAATTATGTATACCTAAGGAAAAAAAATTCAATAGATGTTTTGTTCGTCAAAATGGTCAAATTAAAAAAATCAGTAAACTAATTAAGTTACATGTGTCATGATCTCTCATATAATATATGAGATCACTGGTATCACATTTTATCCAACTGGTTATTATGAAAACATCTTAAAACTGTTATGCTTGAAACTCTTACAAGTTCATCTTAGTCGATAAACGGGAACAAGACAATGAATCAGTGACACTATAGGCTACTCTAATCCGTTGACCCAACTTACTGAAGCAGGAGTCTTGATATGGCGTAGAAAGTGTATTCTACAAGCACCCAGAAATTACGAGGTTGACAAGCACACAAATCAAGTTTATTTATACATGATAGGAACGTCCTTGGAAGAGTCACAAAAATAGTGTACTAAAATAACACATCAACCAATTACAGTCAAGGATTTTCCGGGTGGGAAATGTAATCTCAAGGTCAACTGATCAGCCCATGAATAAAATCCAAAATTAGGACCTTTATCAAGTGAGTTCTAGTGATCTAACGTCCCCAACAGAAACTCTTCTATCTTAACATTACTGACTAGATATTGTCAAGTCATTTTCATAGCACTACCAAACTAGTTAAGTAACATTTAGAAACTTTCACTGAATTTCTTCTATCTTACTTACAGTGATAAGTTCATTCTAACTAAAATCATGAAACCAAATTATTTTGAATGAATATAGGAAAATCTCTTTTCTTTTTTGGTTGAACTAAAATTCATCATTGTTAAAGATATTATTTTTCTTTCACTCATTATCAAAATTTGTCATTTGCATATTTTCAGTATTTAAAGAATTCCACAAATCAACGAATAATGCTTAATGTTCAGATCAGTATATTTGAATAGATAATGTCATAGGCTTTTACTTGCTTGATTTAATGTATATGCATGTTTCAAATGTAGGTTTTATCGATTTCTATAAGGATTAAGAAAAACACGAGCGAATATCATAGATAAACTTTGGCTCGTAGTAGAATCTGGAATGATTGAATAATAAATGGGACGTAAAGTTTGGCTTTAATACTGCTAATAGCTATATGGCATGAATTTTAATGAAAGCTTGTGATATAATAGTTATAGCAAGGCAATCTGCACAGAAAGTACATTGTCTTGATTAAAATTCCATCAAGAATAATAAACCGTGGAACAATGAAGATTAGTAGAATTAAAATATTCAAATAAAATGTCTTATTTTTGCAAATGTTTGAGTATTGAATATAACCATGAATGACTACTATTCAGTTTTTAATGCTCAGTTAAATTAATTACTTGATTAGTGTGCAGACTGAATAACTTATCTGTTACTATTATTATTACACTATTTTTAAACACTATTTTTAATTTACTATTGAAAAAAATGATTATTTCTACTCAAACTCCTTAAAGAAACAAACAAGTCCACCATTTTCATCCTGTATTTAAAAATTATATTCCTAAATAGCAGATAAAGATCCACTAACACACAGGACATGTCAATCAACAGATATAATGAGATCAATATCCCTTATTTTTTAATAAGCAATACAATTCATAGGCATAAAAAACTGCGAAAGAATGATAGCAATTTCTTTCATGTAGTAATAGCTAGAAATTAATTATCTGACACTCAAATCACCAATAGGAACTGTCAATTATCTACATTTCAATGATTTATTATTTGTGACTTTGTTAGAGTAAACTTCGAAAAGTAATCTATTGTTACAAATCAGTAAAACTCATAAAGTACTAGTTTTGATGATAACAAGATATCTTCAAAATCCTTTTGATGAAAATCGTATTATTATTACATCAGTTTAGTGAGGTGAAGGAGAGTGTTGAAATTTTGTAGATTACATCACGGACTGATCTTAGCTGAATAGACTTTGTTAACGAAAAAGAATGGAATAACTGTTTTGTCCTTGTATAGGACTCCCCACTAGTAGGCACCCATGAACCATTAAAGGGTTGAACGCCCGGTCTTCGGTCACACACCCACTGCTTAACTTTTGTAACACTTTGTCAGCATTCAATGATAATAACAATAATTAAATGAATTGATCAACTTACCATAAACATAAACAATAGCAAAACATTCAATCAAACAGGTACATACAACTGATGTACTACAAGCATTTTGATCTAGAAAATGTACCATATAATATCCTCCCTGTAAAAAACAATTTAAGGAAAAAATATACAATGAATGAATATCTTTTCTAATGTTAAATTAATATGGTAGTTTTCATACAAAATACACTATGGAAATTCCAAATATTCGGTTAGGTATTTCGTTCAGTCGCCTTTGGCTGTATTAATAATTCTGACAATATAAAAAGCTATCATTTCGAAATTTTAAATCACTTATGTTTGCTGATTGAAAAAATCTCATTATCGGATTCTTGATATCAACATTCCAGTTACAATAACTCAAATCAATTTTATGAAATGCAATTGATGTTTAGAAAAACAAATCCAAATTTATAAAAATTAATTCAGCTATATCTAATTCTATTAGTTAAACATTATATAAGTGAATACTAGTGATCAGGTGGTTCTGAAAAGTTCATCTTCATTGTATAAACCAGCGAAAATAAATGATGCTTAGATAAAAGTGACCATTTATAGCATTCAATTGCTTTGTTCAGACACATCAATCAAGATATCTAGCAATTTATTGAAGGGTTTCCTAACAGTGATCGCACACAGCAAAATAATAATAATAATTTACAAATAGTGATTGGTGAAATAAATCTGACAAAAGAATTCATTCAGAAATGAACTCAGTAGCTCATTAAATAATGCGATAGAGTTCGAGTATCGGAGTGAATATCAACACTGAGATGCAGGTATAATCAAGCTGAGGAGTCTCAAATAGAACGAAACGCGTATATTGGATTCCGCTATCAGCAACTATTCACCTCTCATTATACACTGACTAGTTTTAATCAACGTAATTTCGCTTATTCAATGTAAGTTAATTTAGTTTGTTTCTGAAATATGTCGGAAAAGTGTTAGACGAAATGATTACATCAAAATAATCATGGTAATGATGGTCATGAAAGTAACAATAATAGTTTTTAAAAAAAATGTGATAATTACGAAATTCTTCTTATTTGTTTAATTAAATTAATTACGAATAAAACACTTTAATTACAATAATGATTGTAAATTGAAAATACACCCTTGATTGATTGAAATAAACAATAAAAGTGCTATTACAGTTACATAATGTCAGTAGACAGTATGAAGAATGTATGTAAAGTTTGTAGGTTAAACAAACAAAACAGTGATATTTAAGAGTCTGTAACTATTATTGTAGGAGCAAATATAAAAGAACTTGTGTGATAGGAGTAAATTAATAACCAAAGGAATGGAAGGTCAACCAAATAGTTATTTTGGACATACAGTCTAAGATATGAACAACAAATAGCCGCTAATTCTGTTAATTACAGAAGGTTTTATTATTATTTCGTAATTGTAATTTTTTAGAAATTCTTTTCATTGATATGCTTTTTGTAAATGTGAATGTTTCTCCAAGTAAATGTCAGTAGTAAATACTAACTGTAAATAGTCGGAGATCTGAATAACAAGATATCCTCTGTGTAACGTTACATAAAAATGACTGAAATTTTGTACGGATATGTTTAATCTTATTACATGATCACAGTATCACGCCCAATGACTACGAACATAAAGCAACTGTACAGTCTAGGTAGTGCTCTCTAAACGGATTGTTTAATTAAACCATTTTCTCCGTTTATAAGAATATCTATGAAACAAAGCCCTGTTTGTCTTTTCTCTAAGGTGTTTAAAATATATTTCATAGAAGATTTGCATGTCGTTTTGCCATGGTTGATTATGATGTTATCGACGTATCACCCACAAAGGAACACATCTTCAACGAAATGGTTAATGAAACTTCCAACATTTACTTTAAACATATTAGCTAATAATTCAACAGAGAATAAGCACGGAAACCCGGTCAACCTTTTAAAAGCCGTCACATTCAAATGCGAAGTGAATAATTGTTTCAGTGCACAATAGTAAGCAATCATTTGGAACTTTTACAAGAATATGTAATGTGATATTATTCAGAGTAAGATGAATACCAATAGTCTTTTTCAAAGAAACATTTATAAAAAAAGATCATACTGGAGTCAAACAAAGAAGAGCATTTTCATTAGTTACTTTTGATCGGTTTTTCACATTCGAGCATGATAATATCAAAATTTGTTAGTAATTCCTTTAACTGTTTAAGACTTTGATAAAGTAATATGCTTTCCTGCTTTGTTCCAGAAATTCGAAACAGATAAGCCAAGGATGTTGAAACAAGCATGCGTAGTTGGTCATAAAAGTTTTCAAACCCTCATAATGGTTGAACGGTTAGAAATACATGTCATAGGAGTAAATCAATGAAATTCAACTGAAAGTATCTCTTTTTCATTAATAGACAATGCGACAGATCACAGTGTGATTACATACTTATCAAAAATAACTAAGAACAAATCCATACAACTGTCATGACAATTAGATTTGTATAGTTTTTTTAAACGACTATACTATAAATGTTAATGAGGTTATTTATTGTGACACATTGAAGAAAAAATTATCAGTAAAAACTATGCGCGGTCAAAACGACTAGACTAGCCTTTTTAATATTTGATAATTCAGTGCATTAAAAGTATGCATGAGTAAACTATTTTAAACTCAGAATCAATCAATAATAAATAAACTTGTCTTATGAAATTTCTACATACAACATATTTACTAATAAATAATTATTCTGGCAAATAATAGTATAGATTTTATTGTCATTAATTTTTTTTCTGTATATATACAGAATAATTTAATGGCATTAATTATTCAGATAAATGTAGATCAGTCTTTTCGAATAAGTAAACTATTTACTTACCATGCATACATTCGGTATAGAAATTATAAATGATAATGACAGAAAAGCAATTGTCAATCCTAGACGAAAGTATTTTTTCAATTTAAGATTGAATATTGTACATTCATCACAAAGTGCTGCCAAAAATGATTCGGTTGCACCGTTCTACAATTGAAAATTACATATAGTTAGTTTTGAAAACCAATTTGAATAGAATTTCATAAATCTATTATTTTTGTAAAAAACATTATTACATGGAAGTGCGCAAAGAGATAATATAAGGTCTTCCCACATGATACATTAAATAAGATTAAGCTTGTACTTAGTATACTAATTGAATTTGGTTACCTTTAAGGACTTTAGTAAAAGCGGTTGCATACAGTAAGTATGAAACCAGATATATGAGTTGTTCCAGTAAAAATTTAGCGAGACTGAGATACTGTTAATGGAGTTCTTTATGATGGAACTGTAAAAAGTACGATTATATTAGCTTTAGGAAAAGCTCTGTCGAATGATTCACTCGTTAACTTAGTTCATGAGACAGTTAGCATCTCCTTGTCGAGTTTGGAATAGCTGAAACTAAGTTAGAAATTATCACTGCTTTGTTTCACAAGATTCATGATAATTCATTGCACTCAAACTGATTTATCGCCTATCTACCAGTTTACCTGCAGAAGCAGTCTCGTCTTTCATGTTTAATAGTAGCTATGAGGATTCGAGCCAAAGATCTTTATTTATAAATCAAAAAAGATTTTTACCATTCTTACTTTTCCTCTAACTAAATTTCATTCTACAATATGTCAAGATATCTATTTTATTAAAAGTTTCAGCCGACTTCGTATATCAAAATATCTGATGACAGTGACATGTTGTTTCTAATAGTCACATCATAACGATCATTATATTTGCAATGATTCTATGAATACAAGCACTTTATTCGTTGTCAAAGCTAATAAACTACTCTTGGTTGTTTATATATATATATATATATATATATATATATATATATATATATATATATATATATATATATATATATTAGATCATGGTCTGATGATGAATTTCACTGAAAACCGTTAATTTTACTCGTTTACCTTGTTTAAATTCAAATGAGATAAATATACATATCGATTCAAAGCTTCTAAACACTATTACTTGTGTGATTATTGGTAAATTAATTTGTAATTTACCATTTTTATTTTCAACTAATTACATAAATACATTTTGTGATACGCATTCATATAATCTGAAAAAGATAACTGTATTTTCAAATCATTCATTATATTACAGGTGTGTTCGTTTAGTGATCGATAATCTACTTAAAATTTTAGTTGGGTAGCTTTTTTCTACACTTATATCTGCTTTACTTATGACGCTAGTTTTTGTACAGTCTTATAAAATCTACCGGTACATTTAGCACTTGTGTGTTTTGCCCGAAGGACTGAACTATGTTGTTACCGTTAAATAATGTCTAGGTTTGTTGAAACTCATCGGAAAAATATTTTGAAGTCTTCAAAATCCAATGATGTGTAGTACCGATAGAAATCTTTGCGCCTAATTAAAATCAACTCTGAGGTTATATTACTTTTATGTAACACTATTGTCTTCAATCATGCAAACAAAGGAATTAGGTGTATTGATTATTGTATTTCATTTTATAGTTTTCCGAAAAGTATGTTGGATTCTTTTTGGTATTCACCATTTATTAGGAACTTGGTTAGATAAAATTTTACAACGATTACTGATGTAATAGTATTGTATTCGTTGTCATCAATGCTGACGCTTTATTGAGGGATTAAACAACGCTTGCGAGTTTGTTATTTGAATTTAAATCTAATAATGTAAATAAAAGTCGATATAGTTGACATAAAACATAAGAATATTTGTTCGAAAATTTAGCATGATATCTTTCTGTTTGTAACTACATTTGGTTGCTTAAATACTGAACAAGTATCTTTAAAATAGTTAATGCTTTACAGAAGAATATTACACAATATTTTTAAGTGTTTAATACTTTAACTTTTATTTATTCTTATTGAAATTAATAATATTCAAATAATAAGATATTTATTACACTTTTAAAATAAAAAACTCACCGCGCTTCCTAAACCTAATGTAATTAGCATGAAAAATAGTAACATGCACCATAGATGTGGAGCACGTAAGGTACTGAATGCACTGGTATATACAATAAATATCAGCCCCAAATCTGTAGTTGATATTTTAAAACAAAATTTCAAATAGTGCAGATAAATTAGTGAATTATATAAATAAAATATATGGAGGAATATTGCAATGCTTGTGCTAATTAGGATACGATTAGATATCGTCGAACGGAACGTAAACTAGTGATACAACAACAGGACAGCTTATCTGTTCTCTGCAACCTAACCCAACTAACTAGAGCAAGAAGTTCAAGGTGAGCAGGAAGATTATAGTCCATAATCAACCCTGAGCGAACGGATTCACGAACATTTATTCAAGCATAATCTATGTGATACTAAAAGCATCCTTGGAAGAGTTACAAAATAGCACACTTAAAGAGAAAAGTGACCAAAGAGGGTTAAAGTTTTTCCTTGGGGGAAACGAGAAATAAATTTAATATGAGGAGCATTTGGCGCGGATATAAGAATTTTAAATTTCCAAAAATAAAATCCGAAATAAGCGAATATCTAAGCCATTTCCTGATATCTAGCATTCTCGATAGATTTCTGAGATGATGACTGATTAGTTTTAATATTTCAATAAATTGTAAAGTTTCATTCCATGATGTAGGTTAAATCCAGTCGATTTCATTTCATTGAATCCGTATCTTTTATGTAGACAATCATTTGATAAAACTATGCAGGAATTAATTGCACATAACCTAAATAAATGAATTAAGTTTGCAGCTGTTCTTGAGCTACCTTGATGACTTTTGATCTTTGTAAATTTCTTTCCTTAAAAACTCATCTCATCCTCTTTACTTTTCAGTCGACGACAATCACTCCTTATTTTCGTCTAAACTTGTATTTATATGTCCATGTTATTGCTGTTGTTATCGTTATTTAGGAATAGTTTTGAGAGCAGAGATAGACAGTTTACATGTTTATTAAAATGAAAACTTCACATCTCTTATAAATAGTATTTTTACTCCAAGTAAAATCATTATCACCATTGTGACTACTCTAATTTCATTAATATTGTTTCGTCGTTATCTTAAATGCTTTTCAGTTTGTCTAATATTCTTATGACGTAAATGCTGAACTATATAACTTCTGTTTTATGAAATAAATTAGTTTCATCTTTAAACCGAATTAATTTTTACAGTTATATTATTTTGATTATAAATACTTGTCAAATTGAAAACAACAATGCCGATCTTTGAAGTAACTAATTAATTCTTATTACGAAATGTCAGAAGAAATTAAAAACAACACGGACTTTATGAATAGTATAAGGCTGAAAATATTTTCGGCATTTGTTTGCCATTTTATATGTTTTGTTATCATTGAAAGTAGTAAAAGTTTTTCTTATTTTTCAGAAACCCATACAACTCTCGTTCAAGAAGTACGGGCTTAAAAATCTTCCAGACAAAGTTATTTAGTTTAAATTAATAGACTTGATAGTCAGAGAACTATATCCAGGTCCCGTCATCATGTAAAATATGGCAAAATCTTCTCAACATAAGAAAACATTTACGAAATCTAGTGAATTTTCTATGTTGAATAAAAACTTAATCAGAGCTTATCTATTTTGTTGATGTGAAACATAATCCCATTTTCTTCAAATAATATAAAACACAGTGACAAGGTTATGTTTGACCTGAAACTTTTATTACCCTCAGTGTTCTAGTTCACTTGAATTTCGCCTAACGAATATACCATTAAACTATTTTGACTAAATTTCGATTTTCAGGAGTGAAAATTACGTTTGTGATATTAGCATCGAATGAAACACGATTCTGTTTTAAATATTCATAACATTTAAGAGACTAAACAAACGAAAAACCACAACTAAAAAATTAGAAATAATGTTATAATTTTTCCCACACTTAAATGGTCATTTGAAATTCAAATCAGAATGACATAGAATAAAAGTGACTAGATAATTAATGGTGGTACACTTCATCATTAAGTTCCAAAGTGAAGAGAATTTTCGAATTGAAATAACGTTACTTGCTGTTTTACTAACAGCAGTGGGTTGATGGATTATTAAGAAAGAATTTAACCCTCAAAAAAATACTTGGCCAGGATAAAACACAAACGTCGTTAGCTTTATACCGGCTTCACTGCAGACAAAGCCTTATAAAAAATAGAATTAAAATAGGTAACTAGATTAGTAAACTTCAGTAAATTGTTTACTTACTTCCGTCGACATTTTCTTGAATTGATACTCCATATTGGTGTGATAAATATCCCAAAAATGAATATAAGGAGATGCTGTTTAGTAAACTAAAGCAAACATTCATTGCTGTTGTAATAATACAGTCGACATAAGCTGGATTATTGATTTTATTATAACTTCCATAAGCTATATGTACACCGAAACCAACACCTAGAGAGAAGAAAGCTTGACTGGATGCATCAAACCATACCTAGGATTAAAATTGATAGATAATTACGATGAAGTATGTTGATAACTTGATTTGTTTAACAGTAGCATGTCAAGAAACTATTTGTAATCGATCTCTAATCACTGTGTTTTATTTAAATTAGTCGACTCAAGAAACTTTCAAAATTGTTCACATGTATTATACGATTCGATATTCAGTGGCAAAACCTCTTAATAATCAACAGCAAATAGTTTGTGGTGGTGTTTGGTTCTCTGGTTCTCAGCTCAGAGAATCAAACACCACCACAATCATCCACCTTAGCTACAAATCTTCTCCATTAGCAAATAGTTTATCTATAAAGAACTTATGCCGTCTAGGGAAGGGACACAGCCGTACTATATTAAATATTCTGAAACTCACTTGTGAAGGCACTTGAAAGAACTTATACACTTACTGTCTTTAGACTTAACAAGAGGTTATAACATTTAAAATATTTGAATTTGAAATGTTATACTGCTGAATGACTTGTTATAAAAAAGCCCTTAGTGTATTGATGACTCTATTATGCTAGTCAACACTGTATTAGATATTATATATTATCCTTACTAAAGAATCTGAATTTTTGACGTGCATTTGCAAATCACTTTGTATTATGTTGAGTGATCTAGCATCTTCTTAGAAATCTTTTCAAAGATTACTGTTGTATGACATACTTTTGGTCAATTTTACCGTATTTCGATCTAGTGCAACTGTAAGCTCTAGTGAAACATAATACTGACAATCATTATGGAATTTCCGTAGAAATCAAAAAATTAACCAACTATTTAAAAAAATTAGGTAGGAAGTGAGGGGACCTAGGAAACGCATTTCGTTATGTGTTGTGATTTGCCTTCTGTATATAGCTGTTTTCCTAGTGTTGATGTTCATCGAACTTCTGAGTACAAATAACCTCAATCTCGTGCGTTGGTTATATAATTTATTTCCAAGTGTTCCTTTCATCTCATTTTTCAGTTGGATAGTAGATAACTTAATGATGTTTGAAGTAATTAGTACTGAGTTTGAGTAAGAATATCAACACGAGGATATAAAGATATACTGTTGATAAATCCTAAATATGACGAAACACCTGTGATAGATTCCTCTACTAACCAGTATACAACTTTACTAACACTTGCGATGTGTGGTAACATCGAAAAATTACACCTAGGATGCATATATGTCAGAATAGATCGATTAGTTTTACTCTTAACTGTATACAACAAGGAATTACAGAAAACTGCAAAGGCAAAAATAAGAGTAAAGCTAACCTACTTTCCATCCCAGAAGTTTTCGCATTGATGGAGTAAGAAACGTCTTGATACCATATCCAGCATTGCTCAATGTTACGCCTCTAATCAATATTATAAATGTTGCCAAATAAGGTACACCAGCTGTTATCCATGAAACCTTTAGATGAAAGATAAGAAAAATAGTTTCATTAATAATACATGCTTTTGATGTTTAATTCAATTTGTGCTTGGTTAAACGTTGTGAAAGATTACATAAACTTCGTTGAGTTACATTTTAGTAAATTTAAAAGTATTGGATGTAATTTGGTGGATATGCGAGGAACATTGATGATAATTCTTCTAAGTTACTGCGTATTGTCTTTCAGATATTTCAGTTAAAACTTCACAATCTTTCTCATCCAATGTTGTTCATATCACAGTAGATTTTTTTTTCTTATGCAAAATCATAGACATAGTTAAAAACTTAGAATTACTTAGGGAGGAAGAAATGTTGTATGCTTTTGCATAGATTCATTTCATTTCACTGTTTATATTTCTGGTGGTGTACAATCTTAAAATATCTTCATATGTATCATCGTGAATTTGATCCTTCAAAAGCTAATGTATCATCGTACTGTATATATCGTTATGCTGGACTATAATACAAAGCAAAAATATTTGAGGTCTTAAAAGAAAAAGTTATCACTAAATAATGATTGATATCTAATGAAAAGTATTTTCTCTATTTCATATCATATACACAAATAATACTGTATCATAAAGGAATTCAAATCAAACTAACTTTTTCAAGAACTTTGACTCCATCGAATAAAGACAAAAACAGAATGACATTTATCAGAAGTAAGCAACAACAAACTTCCCATTGAACTGTACCAAAGTCTCCAAATCCAGTGCTTTTATCAACGCCAAGCATCCTAATCCTAAAAACAGGGACAAAAGACAGTCGACGAACGTGATACTAATGCATAATCAATGTTTTGTTATTAGATTTATTGATGCAAGAAAATTAACGTTTTCTAATGCATAGAGGGGTTTATGGAGATTGTAGAATTCTAATAGTTTACATTACGAACAGACACTGTCCAATCGCTTCGTCTTGATGTTGGTCTCTTTAACGCTGCACAATCAGGACCTAACTACGCGGGATAGAATCTAGGACTGTCAATCTTAACTTAAATCCCAGATCACTGAATTCATTGTCTTACAATGTACTTGTTGAAACATGAAAATGTTTTAAAGATAGACTTAAAAGCATGATAAAGCCAATGAACGACACACTATTCAACAAATAATGTGTTATTAGTGTTGATAACCTACTCGAAAAATTCTTTCGCAGCAGTTGTCATAGTGAAGTTTACATGTGATAAGTTGTTAGTTGAAATTTCTTTACAATACGGAGTATTCCAACTGTGATTACAGTTTGACCATGGTAATTCACTTTGAAACGAAGCAAATAAATAAAAAAATGCCCAAGCAATTATTGTGTTGTAATGAAGAGTACCAAGAAATGTGATAATACATGAAGCCCATCCAATACCTATAGGAGAAAAGGAAAGTAAATTCACTGAAATGTAAATTTGTGAATATTAATTAGAATTAAAATAATACTTTAATTTAACATCAGAAAACTAGGATTCTTTGTTAGTAATTAGACAAAAGTACATGCAACATCAAAGCTTTGATGTTCACTCATATTCCCGTTAAAATTTTTGAAACCAGACTAAGAAATAAAACGTTGGATTTATTTTAGGTTCAAGCACTACGATTCTAATAGGTATAAATTTCATCTAAATGTCTGATATTAACTCAGTACCCAACTACTGAGGAATGATTTGTTCGAATTTAGATTACGGTTCTTATAGACAATACTCTTTCGATAGAATCTCATTTGTACAGTATCAAAGTTGTATTCGTCTGTTATTGAACAAATGCCATGCATACTACTAACAAAACCTTTGCATTTCAATTTTTATGCCGATTCATTTAACTCTGCTTACACACACTGATATCGATTATCACAGTTGAGAAAAGCGTAAATATTGAATAGGTACTACATATTAGTTTGGGAATTTGCAAACGTTCAGACTCAAGACTTTAGTTATAACTAACTAACTAACTAAAACTTTACAAGCATACTGTCCCCATGTACGAAAACCACTTAAAAATGAAGTAATTGTTCACAATTAACTGAGAAATGTACAACTTGCTAAATTCGAAAACATGATTCATAGGATACTGACTTACTGGCTAGAAGGTATCATGCAGGCAGTGAAGCTCGAAAGCAATTTGTTGTTGACGGATATACGATAAATCATCACCAATCTATGTTTACTAATAGTTAACTTATTTATAACATTGTAAGGTTTATATCAAATTATTGTCTATTAGGCATTTTAAAAAATTCAGAATGTTTATTATACTTTCATATAAATTCTACTAGACGAAAAACAACTTCTGCGACAAAATAGTCTAAATTCATATGATCGTCTGTCTCGAACAGGAAAATCGATAACTTTTGTTGAGTAGAAAAAATAACTTAAGGCATTTGTGTAAGTATGGAGAAAAGGGAAACGACAATTGCACCAATAAGTAAAAAAAATTTTGGTTGGTACGGATAGGTTAATTGATAAGTAAATTATACTGCAATTTTCCAAGCATTGTAACTACTATATTGGTAATATCTGGATGACGAATCATCCAAATAAACACATTAGGTTAGCTTCTGCGATGATAACTGGAACTTCTTGACACTTTTATAGGCGAATAACCTTTAACTATTGTTAGTTGAGTTTTTTTAAGGCTGCAGAGTTAAGAAAGAATCTAAGTTCGTAGTGAGTGGAGTTCTATTCATTCAAACAAAAGAATCAAATTCTGAAAAGTCTATATATATATATATATATATATATGAAAATGCATAGACTATTAATACATCAAACTATTCTTATTTTATACATGGCTGACTAAACTATTTCATGTTTAATTTTCTCTTCTTAAATATTTTGTTTACCTAAGTAGTTTCTGAGACAGATACATTGGTAAAAAAAATGTTACACTTGATGCAGTTTCTTACGACAGAATTTCAACTACAAATAGAAAAAAGTCATAATAACACTGCTGTAACACGTTAAATAAGAATCAGAATGTTTAACTTTTGAAATTATCCTCCCTAATAGCTATCGTTTACATCTATATTGTGTAATTAATACATACTTAAAGTATTGTATTTTTCTATTCTACCGCTTTTAAGTTGTTTTTTGTGATTCATGAATGGTTATAAAATATTTGTATCATCGTTATTACATTACTGTTAATTTGTTATGGAACTGTTAACCATTTCTTTTTTCCTAATGTGGTATAAAATATCTAGATGATTTCTTAGCTATGTTGATATGTTGTTAGAATTTTGTTCTAAATAAATGATTCATGAATTGGAATTTTTTTAATTAGAAGTTTTCTACTTACTATCTCCTGCTTTATTCCAACTGTCAGGTGAATGAACGTGAGAGAACTGTATTCTGGGCCAATAGGCGTGAAGTATTGATCTCGGCTATTTTATCACTAAATCGTGTTATTGACGAGCAGAAGGACGTTGGAATCAGACATAACCTCGGCTTATTGATCAAACTTGGACTAGTCAGTGCAACTGCTCTCATATAATACGATTCAATTATGAGAATGTTAAAAATAATCCAAGAAATTTGTTCTCTTTACTATTACGCTAACAACAGTTTATTAGAATGGTAATATGATGTCGCTTTATAATAATAATAATAATAATCCGGAGGACTTTAATAATAAATGTTCAATAGTTTTTCTTCGAATCGATTAGTATAAACAATGTATCTTTATATCATTTGTTGTAGGTTTGTTTGCATATAAAGTCTACACATGTACAAAGCTCATTGGTCTGCTATTATGCATAGTAATTATTTAAGATTATTCCAGGATAATTACTAAAACAGCATTTTTTTTGAAGAAAGGAAGTTTGCAAAGTTCAGAAAACTAAACATGAGTATAGACATTAAAAGCAGAATGAAATGAAGATTACTGTAAATGTTAGTAGTAAAAATTTTCCTCTGGATAAGTTACAGAACAACCAAAGACTAGATAATAATAATAATAGTTATTTCTTATACATACAAGCGATAAACGTCCAAAACCGATTCATTCTATCAAATACATTCAAACTTTACTGTTTCTGTAACCGAAATCAAAGTCACGCAATATAGTAATACATCATGTAGAGTTATTCACTTGCTCACGAATAGATTTTGAACAAACTACGTTGTAAACTAACAGTGACCATATAACCATCCATTTACATATTTCTCATTGTTTTGGAAGTAGGAATTAATTAGATCTATAAACTCAATAGGAAATCGATTGGTAAGTTATTTTTTGAAAATGTTTACTTCGCTATTTGAAACGTTCATTGATATAGCATTAGGAAATCAAATATTTGATTTTTGAGATTATTATGGTTTCAAACTACAACTACTTCATAGTTGTGTTAAGAATAAGATGAATATTATGATTCTCTATTCGCGTGTATTCGGTTAACGTGTTCCATAAAACAGTTGCACATTAAATCTCAAGTAATTTACATGATACTTTCAGTTGTTACTTTCTGCATACAACTGAAGCCAGTGGTAACTCAAATAAGCGAACCTTAACTTTGCATTTAGAATAAGTTTATATTGGCGACATTCTATCTAGTGAATATCAATGTTTCACATTTATTGTCATATAATTATCACTACTAATAATTAAAAGGATATAAATAGAAACGTGTTTTTACGCTTAGTTTTTTTCTCATTTCGATTCCCTTGTCTTCATTTTGGCTAATTAGTTAATTCCTGTACTCTTAAAGATTTATCTTATGCAACTATTGTGAATAATTAAATATGTTTTAAACATAAAGCTAACGCCTTTGTTTTTTCTCATTTCACACACATAAGTAGTCAGTTTTAATTGAGATCTGTTAAATGAACGGTAGGTCTGATTTCCTACCTCCTTCTAAATAACCAAGGCTAAATCTAGAGGGCTATTTGGACACAGGAGAAAAATCATAAAATGCAAACAGAACTGTTTACTCCAAGGTTAGTTTAATGACAGATAATTCAGGGCATTTTTAGAATCGCAAATGAGCTTGGGCTTCTGGGATTTTCCGTAACCGTGCTAAATATGGTAGTGGTATAGGTAAATATCCAATCAAAATCGTGGCACGTAACCGTTGATTTTACAGATGCTTCTGTGAAGGTTCTAATCGACATTGATGAGATAAAAAGTTCCGGAGGAATACTTTAGAACCCACTAACACTAACAATTGAGAAACTGACTATCATAGTTCTATTTGTTTCTATAAATAATAAGTAAGTTAACTTATTACATTTCATCTAGAGGTCATTCATAAAATCAAACGTAAATATACATACTGATACCTGTGAATGATGAGAAACTCGCTGAAATAGTAATATTTCTTTCATCTAGTCTATATATTTAATGTATGAATGAGGGTTAATAGTGAATTATGAATTCCTTGAAAATCATTATAATAGATAGTTATTTCAGAAAAAAGGTGCAAAACATCAACTCTTATTGGACTTCAGTCATTTGAAAGTGTTAAGTTTCTGCTGGCCTCTTTTCAAGTTAACAAAATCAGCTGTTGTAATCATGATAGATCATCCGATTTTCAACTAAATTCACAATTAGTTAACATCATTATTGGTAGATATTTAACAACACGCATACTTTCATCTATTTGATGATAATTAGTATCATTATTTCATTAAGAAAAAAATATTAAGAAACAGTTTGGACAAAAAATGCAATAATGCTGACGACAGTGTCGAACAGCAATTCAATCTCACCTTTAAATAAAAGTGTAATTTTCCATACACTTATACAACCTTGACGAAAATATTGTCCAATCATTAATTCCATATAAAATAGTGGAACTATGCATAATGTTAACATGATCAAATAGGCTATAAAAAATTCTACACCACCATGTATATAACATAAGTATGGGAAACGAAATACTGTTGTTAAATCAACCACAAAACTAATACTTGACAGTAAAAAATACAGACGTGATGACCAGTTATTTCGTACAGACTTGGAATTATTCATGTCGGAATAATTTGTCTGTAATTCCACATTACTAGTATTCATATGATCATTTGGGTGATTATCGCGAAAGCGTTCATTCATGATAATACTGTTGACAGAATGTTTTTTCGAATGAAATGTTCCTGATGAAATGATACTCTGTGGTATTAATGACATTCTTTGTAAATGAACTGAAAATGTTTAGTATATGGCGTTTATCTCAAAATCATATATTTGTATATATATCAATATATATTTTTATGAATAATTGTTTATGTGAAAATGTGCATATAAATTAGGTAATTAAAATAAAATATTTAAAATGCAAAATGCGTCATTTTTTTTGACAAAATAATAGTCAATTTACAAATTATTTTATTTGATAATAAGCATGTCTGTTGAATGAAAACGAAAGTTTTCGGACAGACAAATTTGATTTTTAGCATAGGCGATTGTTGAAGATTTCATTACTATCACAGTCAAAGGATGGTCAGATTTTAGTTACATCAATGTGAAACTGAAGGTCACAAGTTCGACTCCCGCTCTCAGGTCCGTGATTGCACTCTAAATGACCGTCCAGTGCTTTCAGGTTTTCGATAGTGGTCTAGCTAAGTTCAACCCATGACTTTCACTGCAAAAAAGTTCTGTAAACTAATCAGCGACAGAACATTTCCATGTAACATTACTAATGAACAATCTGATGATAGAGTGAAATAATCGTTTAGTGTTTCCTGGATTTCAATAGTTGGTTACATAAAATCACTCCATGATGTGTGTTTGATGCACAGTTTTCTTGGTTTTGCTATTGATTTTCATGAATTATGTGCATTCACATTCATATAAACCTTAGAGACTGTTATAAACGGAACAATACAAATGAGTAAGAATTCGGTCCCCATACTAATCAGCAACAGCGCAACAAATAATACCGGTTAGCCCCTGGGATTTGTTACTGTGTCATTCATTTTTCATAAAGGATTTATTTTTAGGCTTACTCACTAACCATGACTGAAAGTGTAATAATTTCAAACATCAAACTGTAAAGCTAAACATGAACTGGTTAGCATAAATTAATTATAATTTTTTAATCCTTATTAGGATAATACTAACTTAAAGTAGAAACGTAAGAATTTTTAAAAGATTATCTCATCTAAATGATTACTAAGAAGTGACCTAAATTAGAAAAGCATTTCATGATCTCTTGAAAGTCACGTTTCTCAAATAATCATATTCATTTAAATGAAATGCTTTCTCTCAAGGTTCATCACATATTTACAGTTTATTACTTTTAGTCAAAATTAACGTCTACTCAAGTTTCACATATTGACCTTTCTTTGACACTAACTAAGCAAACTGATACAAAAACAAACAGAAATTAACTACACCATGACAAATAACATTTGACTTCATTTTCATAACACAATCACTAAAAGTAATGGAACCAATTTATTCTGTTGAGGAGTTCAGTGATTGTTCGTATTTTAAATTAAAACTAACAGTTGGACATTCGAAATAATTGTGTGTAAGATCGTTCAAAAGAAGCCATCGTCCAGCACTAACTAGAAACCATCTCATTTTACAGTAAACAGGACAGGAGTAGACGCATCTGCTTACGATAAGCTTATTGACTATCTACTTGGCTCTATAAACGATGGTGATGATATTGATGAAGTTGATAATATGAAGTTTAACAGAACATTCTTAGCCAGTGAACAGTGATAGAACTTTGAAAGCTACTTGAATCATTCATAATCTTGACAACAGGATTCACAATGAGTTAGTGAATGCTAGAATAGTTTCTATATTTTGACTTGAGTGAATGAAAATCTGGATTATGCTGTAAGGTGTCATGTGATACATGATGTCATTATATTAACAAAAGATGATCTATGCTACAAATCAGATGAAAACAATAGTGACAGTTTGTACTACAAAAAAAGCTTCCAACACGACTCTTTACGTTCTACTTAGTTAATTACACTGAACATGCCTGCTGAATCTTTAACGTTGACTAGTCTTGTAGTGTAGCCACAATTAAAAGTACCTTGAAATATACTTTGTTGTTAGGCTTCTGGCAAGTATCGTCAAGAAACCCTGTTTTTTTCTTTGTTAAAATTGGTATTTAGCAGCCAGTTAGAGAAAACTGTATCACCATATGGTATTCGAGCTTTCAGTAGCAAGTGATATAGTCAGATAAATTACTTTTGAGCTCTTCGTTTTTGCAAGTAACCTCTTGAAGAACTGAGATATTTTCAAAAACTTGTAATCACCTGGAAGTTTGGTTATTCCCGCGCCCGAGATCATATTCGATTAACTTCATTGAAATATATATTCTTAAAATTAGTCAAACATTTACCCGATAGGCATCATTTCATCTCTGTCCATCAAATAAAATCGGAAATACCGACAGGCTTTATCATATTAGGAGTTGCTGATGAAAAATTGTTGATAAAACCAATTTGTAACATATGTTTTCTGTTCGACTATATTTAAGAAGGATGAATCAAGTTTTTTCACTACTCGCTTGTTAAACAGTTAAAGAATATTCGGCAAAACAAACAATATTGATAGATACTATTTTTTATTTGCCCAAGATCAATATGGATGGTGATAAAATTCAGTTTCATCTGTTAAACCAAGGTGTAATGCTCACGAATATGATGGTTTTAGTTGTCATCAGCGATTCACTTACTACGTTCTAGCTCATTAATATGTGCATTATCTGGAACTATGTCATTGTTATCGCATATCTAAAACGATCATCATACTCAATGATAAAATAATTTATTTCCCCAAAATAAAAATTGTGTAATTTGTAGAAAGCCAATCTGTTTCAGTGACTTGATTTATTTGATAAATGTTGGCATTATTAGTTTGTGAAGTTTTATTTGAGTTTTGTAAAAAAACGTTTTTCATCTGTTGTTTATAAGTTAGCATGAATTTTATTACATTTTTTTTCATAAGCAATAAATGAATTTTCAAATTCTTTTCGCTTTGCAATATTTATTACTGCTTGTTATTTGTGAGATGAGTCTGTCTAATACCTAACATACTATTGATTACTACTTGGCAATCAATCCATTGTAAACAATCTCTGTATTTTATCAAATCGGCTGTTTCAGACTGTGTGAATACAAACTGGTATTAATTCTAACTATCAAAGCGCTTATTTTTCACTCCTGCTCGAGTTAAAGAAACACTACTTATAAATTTTGTTCATGATCATCAGCGAGCAGGTAGAGAAGATTTCTAAAAAATCATTAGAATGAAGAAAAAGAAAATTTACAATGATTAAACTAATCTCATAGTTGATCATTTAAACATTTACAAATTAAATTAAAATTCTAACATGCTACGCATCTAAGAGCTCATAATACACAGAAGCTAAGTGGATATCTTGAGGGTACTTGAAGTAAACGATAAGGAGTTCGGTGTAAACAATGAGACTAGGATGTAGATAAAACTGTTTGACAATTCCATCGCTAACCACATTCCAAATACAACTAAAAATGAAATAATTAGTAATACAAAATAATGCATTTTGAAATATTCCATTAACCAATGTGGTTTCCCATTCCTGAATTTTTAATTATCAAGTTTAAAAATAAATATATTCATGTAAAGTTGTTCGCCTTATGTAAACAATTTAATACATTTCTTAAGGAATGAAAAATTCAGTTTTTAAACAAGATTATGATAGATTTGGGCGTTCGTCAAAATAATTAATCAACACTATGATGATTTGAGGGATATATAACTAAGGGATAAAAAGTTTATGAACGAACTTGAACAGTATCATCATATTACATACTGATAATAATATGACATTATAAAGATGGAGCTAGTTCATGTGAACTAATATACTGAACATATCGTTTTAGTTTGTTAATTATATGATTTTGAATCTTATTCTATGCAGTAGATCTTACAAAATTCAATCTGGCTATGTCGCCAGCATCCAGCTGTAGATAGCGAAGCCCGTCATGTCATTTACATCATGCACATCTGTTGAGGAATTCCTAGTTTTGGCATACTATACTTTTTATTCATTCGACCAGTAAGTATTCATGTATTCATTAGATAATATAACTTGACTAATTAGTATTTCCTACAACTTACGAATTAGCAGATGGTATCAAGGGCTATCATTCTTTTAATAAATTTACGTAAATATCCTTCTGGCTTACCAATTATCCCACCAACAGTTCTCAGTTTTGCAGGCGTTTAGAGTTAATTAACTTAGGGAATAAATCTGAATTGGATACTAGACAGCATTCAACAAACTACGTTCTCTATAGAGCCATTCAGTTGCCAGTGATCATAATGTTACTATCAGTTTTTTTGTTAAGCTCTAACTGTCCTTAGATTTAACCCGAGATTCGATTATCAGAGTAACCAGGTAACGTTCATCGTGCACTTGCACAAGGTACACTCTTTTCTTGAGATTTCGGTAGCCTCTGGAGGCTTCTTTAAGTCATCACAACGACAGGTACAATTTAATTTAAATTTATTAAATTTACAGAAGTCTACTGAAACTCTATGTAAACAAAGACTGACCAGACACCTAGTAATTCATTCAGATTTGAAGAGAATATTTTAAAGTATCTTCAAGTATTAGGAAATAAAATAATCTCTTGGTGACTTATCTATTTGATTACACTACTGATGAGTAACTACAATTTTCTTGCATAATATTTCCCACTCGTTTTGTTCATTTGTCTCTAGATCGTTAACAGTATATATATATATATATATATATATATATATATATATATATATATATATATATATATATATATATATATATATATATATATATATATATTATTGAAGTTAAATTTTCTTCAACCTCAAACACTTAATCGTCTACCTATAAAATGCAATTATGCATCTAAAAATACTTGTGATCATAGTGTTTTGAGGTCAAGTACCTGATTTTAGAAAATAGAATACCATCACTTGAAACACATAAAAACAGTGTGATATGTTGATCATTTTTAAAGTAAACCATACATACAGATGATTTGCTGCTGTTTTTAATCATTTAACTCAAAATAAACATTTTCAAGCAATTACTCAATGAAAATTACGATCTTTAGTAAGATAAAAATTTCCGTTTAAAACAAACTTTCCAAAACAATGATCATTGAAAACTTTATGCATAGAAAAATTTCTGTATTTTAAGAAGATATGTAAAACGTTGATTATATAAAACCACTTTTACTTGATTCTAATGGACTACTGAACTAACAACAAACGCATTTCAGTTGTTTATTTCACACGAAGTGAAAGAAAATAT